TTGTCGTTGGGAGGGCTCGTTTTTCCGTTGTGAAGTGCCTTCTCATGGAGTGTTTTATATCCTGCGCTTTGTTCGAGCAGTTCAGTTCGTGCATGGAGTGGGTGGTGCGGGATGTCTCGGGGGTGAATGCGGTCATCCGTTATTTAGATGATTTTCTTTGTGTGGGTCCGCCAGCTTCCGGGGTATGTGCAGTTTTTGCTGGCCACTTTGCAACACATGCACAACGTTTCGTTATTCCGCTGGCGTTGGACAAGACGGAGGGCCCGGCTTCGGTGATTACTTTCCTGGGCATTGTTTGGATTCAGGAGCTGTGGAGTGCCGGCTGCCTGAGGACAAGCTGTTGGCCTTACAAGTTGAGATTCGTGGGGTGCTGGGCAAGTGTAAGTTTCAGCTGCGGGCCTGGCAGTCGTTGTTGGGCAAAGCTTACCTTCGCTTACCGTATACTGCCGATGGGTTGGGTGTTCTGCCGCCGATTGGCGATGGTGGGGGTACCTCCCCTTTTACATTTTATTCGCTTGACTTGGGAGCATCGGGCGGACTTGCAGATTTGGCTCACCTTTTTGGATTCCTTCAACAGGCGAGCTCTGTGGATGTCTGGCCCTGGGAGCCATTTTGACCTGGATTTGTTCCCGGATGCGGCGGCTTCCGTGGGATATGGGGCCTTTTGCCGGGGTCGGTGGAGTGCGGCTCCGTGGCCTGCTTCCTGGCTGGAGGCGGGGGGTTTTTTCTTCGTATCTTGGTGCTGTTGGTATTTTTTCCGGTGGTGCTGGCGGTTGCAGTGTGGGGGGGAGTATTTTCGGAAGTAAGGGTTCATTTTCGGTGTAACATTTTGGGGGTGGTTCAGGTCGTCAATCGGGTCTCAGCTTCTTCGCGGCCGGTGGTTGGCCTGCTTCGCCATTTTGTGTGGCGTTGCCTGCAGCTGACCATTTTTCTTCGTGCTGTGCGGCTCCCTGGGGTTGAGCACACTCTGGCTGTCGCTTTGTCTCATTTTCAGTGGGACACATTCCGAGGGTTGGCGCTGGGGGAGGAGCACCGTGGGGTTCCTTGTCCTGACTGACTGTGGGATTTTGCCTTGGGGTCGTTGCAGGCTGGATCCGGTAGTCGGTGAGTGAGGCGACATGGTCTGCATACTCTACTTAAATGGTGTGGGACCCATCGTTGGTATGGTGTGCCCGGGAAACATTCCAGTTAACCGAGGTTTAACTGGAAGGGTGGTGGTGCTGCACTGCGGACAGTATGGTTGTCTCCGAGCTGGTTGGTTGCGGCTGGAGGCCTAGTGGAATATGGTTGTCCGCAGGTGCATTTTGACTGGTGGGAGTGGTGGACCTGCTGCAGAGGGTCAATATTGATCCGTGGGGGCCTGAGTTGAGTTTCGCTGTGTTGTAATTTTGGCATGGAAATTAGAGCGGGGGGGTGTCGGCTGCTGCGTTGGATTGCCGGTTGGCTGGTTTGGCCTTCTTCTTAAGTTGCGGGGGTGTCGGGGTTTTCATGAAAGTCTTTTTGGGTTCGACAGGCCCTTCGGGGTTCCCGTAGGGCTCATTGCTGAAGGGATTCACGGCGTCCGGTGTCCGTTGAGTTGTTAGGGTCTTGGTTTGTGCACCTGCGGTCTGTGTGTCTTTCGGGCTTCGAGGTGTTGGTTTCGGGCGGCCTTTGCGGTGGCCTTTTTGGGGCATTGCGTTTTGGTGAGATCGGTAGTCCGTCTCAATCAGTTATTTGGGGATGAGGTCATGTGCTGGGTTTACTGGGGTGGAGGTGCTCGTCCATTGGTCTGGGACGGACCGATTGGGGCGTGGTGCATGGGTGCGGTTTTTTGCTCTTCCAGCACCTCATGTGTGCCCGGTGGGTGTGGTGCCAGATTTTCTATCCTATCGTCCGGTGGGGCAGGGGTCCTTTTTTCCAGCGCGCTGAGGGGTCCTCTTATTTCACTTTCCCTTTGTGTCAGTTTTCGGACGGTGTTTAAAGGCGGCTGGTTGGATGCGTCCTTGTGTGCTTCGCATTCGCTTTGGATGGGGGCTGCTACGGAAGCTGCCGGGTGGGGTTTGTTGGATATGGTTCACACGTATTGGTAGGTGGGATTCACGGAGATTTTGACTGTGCGTTCGTCCGCATCTGTTGGGGGACTGGTGGGGTCTCTTGTTCTGTTGTCATGGCCTGGGGGGAGTGTCGGTCCTGTCTGGGTGATGTATTGTCCTGGGGGCTGGATGGGTGTGCCGGGTATGTTGTGGGGTCGTGTGCTGCAGGAGGGGCAGCGTTTGAATCGACGGGATGGCCCACTGGATGTCCTGGTGCTTCCTGTGGGTGACAACGATCTGAAGGTCGACAAGGAGGTGGGGCGCTTCTGTATCCGTAATGGGGGGCTGGTGGTCCGGCATCTGGAGCTGGATACTTGGAGGTATCTTTGGAGTGCTGGGGTACATCTGAATGCGGATGGATCGGATTAATGGTCTCTGGGTCTACAGGATGGAGTTTGGAGGGGTTTTGTTTGTGGTGTGTGGCACGCATGGGTAAGGGCTCACCCAGCGTGCTGTGGCGGTGGTTGGTCTTTGGAGGCGGTTCTTATCTTGGAGGTACAAAATGGTGTGGGACCCATCGTTGGTATGGTGTGCCCGGGAACATTCCCAGTTAACCGAGGTTAACTGGAAGGTGGTGGTGCTGCACTGTGGACGGTATGGTTGTCTCCGAGCTGGATGGTTGCGGCTGGAGGCCTAGTGGAATATGGTTGTCCGCAGGTGCATTTCGGATCGTTTTGGGGGTGCCTTCAAAGACCAACGACAACTCTTTATGTTTTCTGTTATAAGGAATGGTTGATGTGTTTAAACTTGATTTGTTAATAAAAGGCCGTGCTGGCCATTTTACTCCAAAATTGGTGTTGTGTTTTCTGTAAGTATAGTATGAAGAAAGGACGGATATTTAGTTTGGGTGCAGCGTTGCACGACCTCGCAATTGTCAGTTACATAAAGAGGCGTGGCCATGAAGGGGTGTACATCCTGCGTAGGGGGAGGGGATAAGGACACAAATTGGCGCTTTATTCTCATGGAGATCACATGGTTATTACTAGGAGGAGACGGAACATTTGCTGGGTATTGGAGCTTTTGTGAGATGGATGGATTGGATGGCACTGATTTGTATGGAGACATAATATAGAGCGGGAGGAATCCATGGTGTATTGTCACATGTATGAATGCAGGATTGGGGTACTATCCGTGTATTAGGGGGACCAATGACACCTTGGCTAGTATTGTAGATGAATCTGGGGGCGTCGGGGGCAATCTTCTTATGTTTATGGCCCTTTAGGGCAGATGTGATTTTTCTATGTATTTTATGGGAGATTTTTCTCTGTATATTGGGAGTTTCCATCTTGTTGTATCATGAATGTAGTATGGAAGATGAGTCCTATGTACTAGGAATGGTCATTGGAAGGACAGAATAGGAGCCACATGATTGGCTGGCCAACCCCGTGACAGTATAGACTAGTGGGTGACATTGATTGAGATCTGCCCGCTGTGTGTATACAATCACCCGGCTAATGTAATATCAGGGGACAAAATGTGCCAGCATTCATATCAGACTAAGGGAAAATGGCCGCCGGAGGAGGGACAGGCGGGCTACAACAAATGGAGGAGGGAGAATCTAATCCACTGCACTGTACAGTGAATACTGGGTTTGATATCATAATAGATGTTTAGGAGCCGCCACTTTTGCTTTTCAGGTTTGTCCCTGTTGTTTTATGCTATTCAGCTTTTTCTGCATCATCACCATCTGTGTCAGCTCTCCATACTGCACCCTCTGTATAACATGTGCCAGCATTCATTTTAGACTAAGGAAAAATGGCCGCCGGAGGAGGGACAGGTGGGCTACAACAAAATGGAGGAGAAGATCTAATCCACTGCACTGTAATGTGAAAACTGTACATTGTGATAGTTAGACTAAGGAAAATGGCCGCCGGAGGAGGGACAGGCGGGCTACAACAAAATGGAGGACAAAGCTCTAATGCACTGCACTGTAATGTGAGAAATTGATTGAAATGAGACATTGAAATCAGACTAAGGGACAGACAGGCAACAACATAATGGCACCCGATTAGTCTATTAAAGATTATAATGGTATATATAGGCAGCTGTACGTCATGGCCAACTCCTGAGGAAGTCACGTGTGATGTGATGTAACATGTAGAGTGGACAATGACGTCAAGCTGCTAAATAGGAAGTTTACGAGCCGCCATCGTCTTTTGCTTTTCAGGTTTTTTTTCCCTGTTGTTTTATGCTATTCTTTTTTTTTTTTTGGACCAGCACCATCTAGTGTCTGCTCTCCATACTGCAGCCTCTGTATAAATCTGTCTGAAGTCACTTCCTGTTTGTCACTTCCTGTTGTATCATTTCCTGTCTGTGTCACTTCCTGTCCTGGGAACACTTTCCTCCTTCAGCCATTTTAGATCGGCTTCTAGAAGGTCCTGTGATTGTCGGTCTCCATCCTGAACACACGGGCCACCAGGGCCAGCATGGGATCTTCTCCATGTCAGAGCACACGGGTAAGTCAGGTGGATCTCCTATTCCTGGTCCCGGCTCCTGTCCCTGCTATAGACGGACCAATCATCTGTGAGGAACCTTCCTCCTCGTCATCGATGATCTGGTGTATTATTATTATTTATTCCAGGTACTTATATAGCGCCGTCAGTTTACATCTATATTGTACATTCCCATCAGTCCCCCCCCCCGAGGAGCGTACAATCTAAGGGCCCTAACTCACATTCATACATACACATACTAGGGACAACTTAGGAGACAATTCACCTCCCAGCATGTCTTTGTAGTGTGTGGGAGGAAACCTGGAGTACCCGGAGGAAACCCACACAGGCACAGGGAGAACATGCAAACTCCAGGCAGGTGGTGCCATGGTTGGGATTTGAACCAACAACCCGAGTACTGCCAGGTGGAAGTGCTAACCACTCAGCCACTGTGCTGCCCCGTGCTGTATATATCTCAGCATCTACTTCTCAGTGTTGGTTTCCTCCTCATTGCGGCCATTAAATGGGCCTCAGAATGGCTCCGGTATTCCCTCCTAGGAAGGACATTCAGGCCGATCTCCCACCATGTTCCTCTGATGTGTCCGAGACAGAATAACAGGAGAGACACCACTCCTGTACATACCCATCACTGTCATACCTCCGTACTCCTCTCCTGTACATACCCATACCATACCTCCATCACTGTCATACATACCTCCTGTACTCCTCTCCTGTACATACCCATCACTGTCATACCTCCGTACTCCTCTCCTGTACATACCCATCACTGTCATACCTCCGTCACTCCTCCTCCTCCTCTCCTGTACATACCCTCTCACTGTACATATACCTCCTGTCATACTCCTCTCCTGTACATACCCATCACTGTCATACCTCCGTACTCCTCTCCTGTACATACCCATCACTGTCATACCTCCGTACTCCTCTCCTGTACATACCCATCACTGTCATACCTCCACTCCTCCTCTCCTGTACATACCGATCACTGTCATACCTCCGTACTCCTCTCCTGTACATACCGATCACTGTCATACCTCCGTACTCCTCTCCTGTACATACCATCACTGTCATACCTCCGTACTCCTCTCCTGTACATACCATCACTGTCATACCTCCGTACTCCTCTCCTGTACATACCCATCACTGTCATACCCCCTCCGTACTCCTCTCCTGTACATACCCATCACTGTCATACCTCCGTACACTCCTCTCCTGTACATACCCATCACTGTCATACCTCCGTACTCCTCTCTCCTGTACATACCCATCACTGTCATACCTCCGTACTCCTCTCCTGTACATACCCATCACTGTCATACCATACTCCTCCTGTACACTCCTCTCCTGTACTCCGTACTCCCTCACTGTCATACTGTCATACCCGTACTCCTCTCCTGTACATACCGATCACTGTCATACCTCCGTACTCCTGTACATACATCCATCACTGTCATACCACTACTCCTCTCCTGTACATACTGATCACTGTCATACCTCCCGTACTCTCCTGTACATACCATCACTGTCATACCTCCACTCCACACTCCTCTCCTGTACATACCCATCACTGTCATACCTCCGTACTCCTCTCCTGTATACCATCACTGTCATCACTGTCATACCTCCACACTCCTCTCCTGTACATACCCATCACTGTCATACCTCCGTACTCCTCTCCTGTACATACGATCATCACTGTCTCCGTACTCCTCTCCTGTACATACCCATCACTGTCATACCTCCACTCCTGTACATACCCATCACTGTCATACCTCCCGTACTCCTCTCCTGTACATACCCATCACTGTCATACCCTCCGTACTCCTCTCCTGTACATACCCATCACTGTCATACCTCCGTACTCCTCTCCTGTACATACCGATCACTGTCATACCTCCACACTCCTCTCCTGTACATACCGATCACTGTCATACCCCACTACTCCTCTCCTGTACATACCATCACTGTCATACCTCCACACTCCTCTCCTGTACATACCCATCACTGTCATACCTCCGTACTCCTCTCCTGTACATACCGATCACTGTCATACCTCCGTACTCCTCTCCTGTACATACCCATCACTGTCATACCTCCGTACTCCTCTCCTGTACATACCGATCACTGTCATACCTCCGTACACTCCTCTCCTGTACATACCCATCTGTCTGTCATACCCCTCCGTACTCCTCTCCTGTACATACCGATCACTGTCATCCCTCCGTACTCCTCCTCCTGTACATACCATCACTGTCATACCTCCGTACTCCTCTCCTGTACATACCCATCACTGTCATGTCATACCTCCGTACTCCTCTCCTGTACATACCATCACTGTCATACCTCCGTACTCCTCTCCTGTACATACATACCCATCACTGTCATACCTCCCACACTCCTCTCCTGTACATACCATCACTGTCATACCCCTCCGTACTCCTCTCCTGTACATACCCATCACTGTCATACCCTCCACTACTCCTCTCCTACATACATCACTGTCATACCCATCACTGTCATACCTCCATACCTCCTCCTCTCCTGTACATACCCATCACTGTCATACCCCGTACTCCTCTCCTGTACATACCCATCACTGTCATACCTCCACACTCCTCTCCTGTACATACCCATCACTGTCATACATACCCTCTCCTGTACATCACTGTCCTCCGTACTCCTCTCCTGTACATACCCATCACTGTCATACCTCCACACTCCTCTCCTGTACATACCCATCACTGTCATACCTCCCCTGTACACTCCTCTCCTGTACATACCCATCACTGTCATACCTCCACACTCCTCTCCTGTACATACCGATCACTGTCATACCTCCGTACTCCTCTCCTGTACATACCCATCACTGTCATACCTCCGTACTCCTCTCCTGTACATACCCATCACTGTCATATACCTCCGTACTCCTCTCCTGTACATACCCATCACTGTCATACCTCCGTACTCCTCTCCTGTACATACCCATCACTGTCATACCTCCGTACTCCTCTCCTGTACATACCCATCACTGTCATACCTCCACACTCCTCTCCTGTACATACCCATCACTGTCATACCTCCGTACTCCTCTCCTGTACTACCCTCACTGTCATACCTCCGTACACTCCTGTACATACCCATCACTGTCATACCTCCGTACTCTCTCCTGTACATACCCTCCTGTACATCACTGTCATACCTCCGTACTCCTCTCCTGTACATACCGATCACTGTCATACCCTCCGTACTCCTCTCCTGTACATATCACTGTCATACCTCCACACTCCTCTCCTCACTGTCATACCTCCGTACTCCTCTCCTGTACATACCCATCACTGTCATACTCCCTCCTGTACATACCGATCACTGTCATACCCAAACTCCTCTCCTGTACATAATCACTGTCATACCCTCCACTCCTCTCCTGTACATACCGATCACTGTCATACCCCCGTACTCCTCTCCTGTACATACCGATCACTGTCATACCCCGTACTCCTCTCCTGTACATACCGATCATGTGTCATACCTCCACACTCCTCTCCTGTACATACCCATCACTGTCATACCTCCGTACTCCTCTCCTGTACATACCGATCACTGTCATACCTCCACACTCCTCTCCTGTACATACCGATCACTGTCATACCCCCACACTCCTCTCCTGTACATACGTATGATCCTGTCATATCCTGTACTCCTCCTGTACATAGATACCTGTCATATACCTCCTCATCCTCTCCTGTACATAGGTGTGATCACTGTCATACCTCCGTACTCCTCTCCTGTACATACCGATCACTGTCACCTCACGTACTCCTCTCCTGTACATACCGATCACTGTCATACCTCCACACTCCTCTCCTGTACATACCGATCACTGTCATACCTGTCTACTCCTCCTGTACATACCGATCACTGTCATATCCTCCTCTCCTGTACATACCATCACCGGTTAGTCACTGTCATACCTCCACTACTCCTCTCCTGTACATACCGATCACTGTCATACCTCCACACTCCTCTCTCCTGTATACCGATCACTGTCATACCTCCACACTCCTCTCCTGTACATACCCCATCACTGTCATACCCACACTCCTCTCCTGTACATACCACTGATCACTGTCTCCATACCTCTGTCTCCTCCTGTACATACCGATCACTGTCATACCTCCCACTCCTCACTCCTGTACATACCGATCACTGTCATACCTACCCACACTCCTCTACTGTACATACCGATCACTGACATACCCCCTCTCCTCCTGTCAAACTGTACATACCCTCTCCACATACCTCACTACATCCCTCCCCACTCCTCTCCTGTACATACCGATCACTGTCATACCCAGTACTCCTCTCCTGTACATACCCATACCACTGTCACTGTCATACCTCCGTACTCCTCTCCTGTACATACCGATCACTGTCATACCTCCGTACTCCTCTCCTGTACATACATACCATCACTGTCATACCCGTACTCCCTACCTGTACATACCCATTACTCCTGTACATACTCCTCTCCTGTACATACCCATCACTGTCATACCTCCTACTCCTCTCCTGTACATACCGATCACTGTCATACCCTCCGTACTCCTCTCCTGTACATACCGATCACTGTCATACCTCTCCACACTCCTCTCCTGTACATACGACCCATCACTGTCATACCCCCCACACTCCTCTCCTGTACATACCGATCACTGTCATACCTCCACACTCCTCTCCTGTACATACCGATCACTGTCATACCTCCACACTCCTCTACTGTACATACCGATCACTGTCATCACTGTATACCTCCACACTATCATATCCTGTACATACCCGATCACTGTCATACCTCCGTACTCCTCTCCTGTACATACCGATACATCATACCGATCACTGTACATACCTCACTGTCATACTCCTACTCCTGTACATACCGATCACTGTCATACCTCCCACACTACTCCTCTCCTGTACATACCGATCACTGTCATACCTCCACACTCCTCTCCTGTACATACCGATCACTGTCATACCTCCACACTCCTCTCCTGTACATACCGATCACTGTCATACCTCCGTACTCCTCTCCTGTACATACCGATCACTGTCATACCTCCGTACTCCTCTCCTGTACATACATACCGATCACTGTCATACCTCCCACTCCTCTCCTGTACATACTGATCACTGTCATACCTCCGTACTCCTCTCCTGTACATACATCATCACTGTCATACCTCCACTCCTCTCCTGTACATACCGATCACTGTCATACCTCCGATTGCACTCCTCTCCTGTACATACCGATCACTGTCATACCCCTCCCCCACTCCTCTCCTGTTAGTCATACTGTCATACCATCTGTCACACTCCTCTCCTGTACATACCGATCACTGTCATATACCTCCACACTCCTCTCCTGTACATACCCGATCACTGTCATACCCCCACACTCCTCTCCTGTACATACCGATCACTGTCATTACCCTCAAACTCCTCTCCTGTACATACCGATCACTGTCATACCTCCCACTCCTCTCCTGTACATACGATCACTGTCATACCTCCCACTCCTCTCCTGTACATACCGATCACTGTCATACCTCCACACTCCTCTCCTGTACATACCGATCACTGTCATACCTCCACACTCCTCTCCTGTACATACCCATCACTGTCATACCTCCACACTCCTCTCCTGTACATACCGATCACTGTCATACCTCCCACCTCCTGTACTCCTCTCCTGTACATACCGATCACTGTCATACCTCACTGTCAGACCCCACTCCTCTCCTGTACATACCGATCACTGTCATACCTCCCACCATACCTCCGTACTCCTCTCCTGTACATACCCATCACTGTCATACCTCCCAACTCCTCTCCTGTACTTACATCATACCCATCACTGTCATCACTGTCATACTCTGTACTCCTCTCCTGTACATACCGATCACTGTCATACCTCATACTCCTCTCCTGTACTACCCTCACTGTACATACCCGTATCACTGTCCTGTACATACCCCATCACTGTCATCTCCACTCCTCTCCTGTACCGATCACTGTCATACCTCCGTACTCCTCTCCTGTACATACCATCACTGTCATACCTCCACACTCCTCTCCTGTACATACCATCACTGTCATACCTCCCACACTCCTCTCCTGTACATACCGATCACTGTCATACCTCCCACACTCCTCTCCTGTACATACCGATCACTGTCATACCTCCCAAACTCCTCTCCTGTACATACCCATACCACTGTCATACCTCCACACTCCTCTCCTGTACATACCGATCACTGTCATACTCCGTACTCCTCTCCTGTACATACCGA